AAATCACTTTTTGTAGCTTGTTATTGCTCATCATTTCCAATGTGCGCGTGTTTGGTTTTCTGATGTTTTCTTGTTTGTTTAGTCCAAAACCCAGGGAAGTGTCAGAGCTCCACCTTTTCCACCTACACCTTCACTACCTGTCGCATTCTGCACCCGTGTGACATCACACAGGTCACCCCAAGGTGAGTCATCTTCAAGAAAATAAGCATCCCATAAACACTGTTATTGTTCTAACACAGACTCTCCTTTTCTTGCTTTCAGTTCTCAGTCATCCCACATGGCGAACACGCCTAGCTCCATGAGGACGGGTCCCAGCACCCCTGTGACTCCCTGCAGACTCAGTCTGGGTGACTCTTTCCCCCCTCGACGTCTGCCTGCACCCCCCAGTGGCCTGACCAAGCTGGTCCTAGAGAGGGGTATTTCTGCACAAGTCTCCAACCCTCCTCCAACCCCGAGACCCGCCCCCTGGCAGCCCCTCTTCCAGCTTCTGCCAAGCACGCCCCCCAACTCCCCCTCCCACTCTCCTGCCCCTTCCCCAGTGCCTACAGAGCCCCGCCAACACCCAGCTGACAATTTCCTGGCCTCGCGGCCCGCAGAGCTTTTTCTCCAAGACGTTTACGGGTTAAACCTGGGCCGCGCGCCGCATCCTGACCTACCAAGCCCATCCCAAGAAACCCCAGCCCTCAGCTCATCCGCCAAATCAGGCAGATCCAGGCCCGACCCGGCCAGCGTTGGTTTGGTGGAGAAGCTCCGGCAGCTGGGATTCACTAAGGTGTTGCATGGTTCTGAGTCTGATGCTTCAATGCCACGCCAGGATTCTGCCACATTTGTGTCAGCAGGTGGAGGGAGCCTTTTAGATGGCCTGAGGCGCAACCAGAGCCTCCCGGCTATGATTGGTGCCCGAGCTGGAAAGTCAGCCAGTCACTCAGCTCCTCCTCCTCACCCCAGGACCCTGGCTATCCCCCCACCTCCATGGGGGAACCTAAAAGAAAGACGGCGGCATCTTGCCTCTATCTCCTACCCAAGTTCGGCCAAACGTTGAACTTAACAGAACATCAGTCCCCTCCTTTATTCCTCCACCACATCTCTCCTCCTTTCTGCCTTTGGAGAGAGAAGTCAGGGCAGCGGTGGGCAGAACAATCCGTCCTTTTTTTAAACTTAATTTTAAAGCACAATTTAATGATACTGACTGTTTTTAGCCACCCTGCATTGTCTGTGTATGTGGATGTCTGCCATGATGATAGTTAAAAAGGCCTTAGCTTGCGTCTGAGTGGGTCATCCTCTTCTCAGTCTTACATTAAATAGACTCAGTAGTTCTCCAGTGAGGCTCTAGATGTTAGGCACGGGTAGAGGACGGCAAGAAAGGAAAATGTAAGTGTACGAAGGTTTGTGGAAGTTGATTAGAGAAAAGTAAAGGAAGAAGTGAAAGAAGGGCGAAAAGGGTGTCAGTATGTTTATGTCAGAAGACGGGGTTTCCGCCATATCAGTTAACATAGGGGGTTCAAGCAGCCCAGGCTGGAAAGCAGGGATTTTTCTCTCACAATTGTCATAGAAAGTGTTCAGAAAATTTATATTGTTGTAATAAATGTATAACTGTACAAACTTGGTAATTGATAAGTTTCGGTTAACAAACCATTAGCATACACTAGAAGAATGCTATGGGCAAAATTAGCTTTACTGTAAAAAAACAAAACAAAAAGTCATAAATTTGTTCAGTTCGATTCAGTTTGTACATATTACAATATTGTGTGCAAAAGTTTAAACATACATGTACATATTTTTGACTACAAACAATTTTGGCATTACCTGCATTCATTCCTATTCATTGGGGACTGTGCCATGAGCGCCCCCTGCTGCAGCCGTAGTTGAATTGCAAGCACTTTGTGTACAGTAGGATTAAAAGGAAACACACCGTCTCCCATTGACCAGCTGTGACACACCTGTCCACACAACAGGTAACGAGAGACTGTAGAGTTTATTTTTGGCTTCCAAGCTTTTAAAAGCGAGAGCACCAATCATGCTAAACATCATTTGCATACAGTAAAAAGCCTAGCCATTCTGTTATTAGTGGACATAAGTGGATGGATACCAACTAGAAAGTAAAACTATTCAATTTGAACAACTTTTTTCAGGCTGGTCTTATGTGTGTAAAGTGGTTAACAGTAACAGTAGGCTAATGACGTATTAGCTAAATTAATATATGTAGCTGTTGTGTAAAAACAAAAATATCTGGTGTTTAAGGAGCTTGTAATACACTGGCGGAAACCCTAAAAGATGAAAGAAGAAGAAAATAAGGGAGAGGGGGGCTTCTGGGGTCTTGCTGTTTTAAGGGCTTCTCAGTTATAGAACAACATCCTGCTAGCTCATAGCGTAGCAGTTGCTTTCTTGACTTCAAAGAAGAGTACAAGCGAGCTAACTTCATACTTGAGGACAAGCTTGGAGACTTCAACCACTCGCTGGTTTAGCAGCTGAACATACCAGTATTATTGTAACAGTTTTACAGTGTTGCACGGATGTCCAGTGACCGTCCATGCGCCATGCCCAACGCCTGCATGAACACCACCTTGTCTGCTGGTCCCAGCATGCACCTGTTGGCAGACAGGTAGGATGAAGGCAAAGACAAAACCAAATGGGACATCAGGCAAAAAAAACAAATAGGGTGAAAGTTTTCCTTCAGGTCTTTGTGTTTTGCGTGTGCGTGCGTGTTTATGTTTGTGTGTTTTTAATGGTATGAGGCCGTATGTGGAAACTAGCACTGCTCTAGTTTGAGTTCCTTTTTTAAGCTGTATTTGGACATGAGTTGCACTTAGTGGGATTAAGAGGTTTAAAGGTCACTGCTTGCTTTGACAATAGACGTTCAGGTTTGGGCTGTAAAGAGGGAATAAAATCACTCACTTATTATTTTAGCTGTTGACCTAATTCAGATTTGATCAAGAGTTCTTTGCTTTAAAAATATGTTTCTCCTTTATCCCATGGATGTATACAGTTTGTGTATCGGCCAGCAGGTGGTAGTGTTCTGTAGGAAAACATCTGACATCATTCTGTACATGTGACACGCTATAGCATTAAAAATAAGGAAACTTAGAGCTTTGTGCTTTATCCCTGTGACCCTTCAGTGCTATTGTTCCCAACCAGACCTTGCCCCGCCCCCCATCTCCAGTAACTGCACTTTTCGTTTTTTGTATTTAACCTTTATTTTATTGATGAAAGAGTTTGATCTACATAAATAAGAGACATTTAGCATAATTGTGAATGTTGTAACAATATCAGCTAACATTTTGCCATAAAAATTGGGATAAGTAGCATTTTGTTGTGCTTTTCACATGAAGGGAATCCAAACTCAGTATTATTTTTAATTTTGAATATTCTGGCTTATACATGTGTTTGTGATGCATTTAGCAACTAATTAACAATAATGCTTTAAAGGGCAACAAGAGCTTCAGCTGAATGTTTAATAGGAGAGCAGGACTGCAGAGAGGAAGGAAGGTACATTCATAAAGTTGG